CAAACGTCTCACGTGCTCGACTTCAACAATCCTCAATTCAATTACACACTCTCTGACTGCAGTTCAATTACTCACTGTCTCACCATCGCTTCGTGGCCGGTCTTATATATACAAGACTACACTATATCTAGAAAGATCACGAGATTTAAGGAAAATACGTGAAAGTTCGAGAATGACGTGGCGTGATACTAGTCACGTGACCTCGATGTCGTAACAATATCTTCTTCCCACTTCCAGCATTTCGTTCGAGGACTGAGCTTTATAACTAAAATCAGATTTAACGTTTTTAACATTTCATGGTAATTCGTTTTTTTAGGTTCATAACTGTTCTTATTCTCCATTCTGCAAATATTCATTTTATGTTTTATTTGGTTCTATTCGCTTTTCAGGACTTTTATTTTGTCTTTACTAATCGACGTTCATTCTGAGTTGTATACAAGCAATCATACCCTTCAAGAATGGGGAAACTCAAACCTAATTACTCCCACATAACCACACAGAATATTATTAGTCGAGGAGGTAAGTAGATTGTACCTCCATCGTAATATAGTTAACCACAGCAATTGGAAATTTTTGGTCTAGTTCTAAATATATTCAGCCTAACATTAAGCTTCCCTTTCACCGGATGCTGTGATTCGCTTTAATTGTATTAACTATTAAATACTTAATATCTTTAATGGAAGAATAGATATTTGTTTATTAAATAAATTTAAAATGCGCGATAGCGTTTATAATAGCTGTATTACTTATTATATATAAATGATGGCCCTCCAGTGGCACAGGGGTATGTCTGCAGACTTACAACGCTAGAATCTGGGTTTCGATACCCGTGGTGGGCAGAGCACAGATAGCCCATTGTGTAGCTTTGTGCTTAATTCCAAACAAACAAACAAAATATAAATTATGAGACTTACGTTCTCGTACAAGTCTGCCATGTTTGCATATTTACTAATTGTTGTTTCAGAGGGAGATTCAACAGTGAATTTTGAAAGGTTCGGATCCAGAAATTCTAAGTTATAACACAAGTTTTCTTCCATGGTATGTAGTGATTCCTTTGGTGCCTAAACAAAAACAATAAGATAAAACAATAATCAGTTTTCAAACAGTTATAACACAATATTACGTTATATTTTCTTAAACTAGAAATGTTCGGCTCCTTGTTAGCTTTTGTACCTCAGTTTAATAATTCGATTATTATCTCCTAGCAACAGTGTAAAACATAAGAAGCGACATCTAGTGAGACAAAACTGGAAAACAGAATTGCAACGTTAAATACTTGACATAGGGCGTGTAATATTTAGTTTGCAAGTTATATGATAACAATATATGTGTGTGATATTACAGTACATTAACACCTGTAATAATGTAAGTCATATTATACTTTAATGGTTTAAAACGAGTTTCGATTAAAAAAAATAATCTGAAAGCAAGTATTTCAACAACGAACATTGACTCTACCATTTCGCTCAATAATAGAGTCTACAACACCAGCTTGGTTACAACACATAAAGCCTCAGTTAAGACGCAATTTATACGAGTGACCAGAATTTTCACTGTATAACGCCAAAACACTGTCTACTGATCGGTAGTTAGTGTGATAGCC